AGTCCTACAGCAGGAAAAGTTAAGAGCGTAGGCCTTGGATTAGAGAAACCTGGGTACAGATCCCATCTTGACTGCCTGGAACTGCATTTAAAATGAGAATCAAATCTACATCATGGGGTTATCATGAGGATAAATGTGCTAATGTGTGTAAAAAGCTTAGCATAGGTCCTGTAATATGGTAAGCCTTTGGTAAATTCTAACGATGATAAAGATGATTATCATTATTGAATATTACAGCCACTAAAAATCCTATTATTAAAGAAAAGGACTTCAGAAATTGCTGATGTTCTCATGCTAAATGGGAAAAACAAGTTTACAGAATGATTCCAATTATACGCTCAGGTCTTCTTAGATGTATATCAGGGTAGGTAAGGGACACAAGCAGAAACTGGATTTTGAATGGAAAAGAGTATACCCAACAGTCCGTATCCAGAGAAGTTGTCATTCATGTGTAAGGAAGACAGAAAGATATTATAGAAGGGCCTGGGCAGAATTTAACTCTTATTCTTACTGATGTAACCGGACTGTGGGAGAAGTGAATCAAAGAAGAACGCAGGAATGAAAAAGTTATGTTATCACAGGACTATTAGGCAGCAGAGAAAGTGGTTAAATATAGTGTCTAAATAACTGTTAATATTATGATGCTTAACATAAATATGAAAATTAATGTCTAAAAGATTCAAGTCACAAGAAGTATAATAATAGTAATATTAGCTAAAGATAATAAACTATCAACAAAAATGTAAAAGTGGAGAGAATGACGTAGAGAAGTTGGTAAACAAAATTCTTTATGAGGATGGGCTCAACAGACTCAAATAATTAGAAAAAATAAAATATTTTAAAATAAATCTAAATTTATTAAATTAAAATAGGATATGTATCTTCTTAATCACTAGAGGAAAATACATACATTAAAAAACTATTAGAAATACAAGGGAATGTGGAAGGATAATTTATAGTAGCACTTATGTACAAAATGTGTTAAATAATATGATCAAAAAGATATATTAAATAATACATTTAAAGCATTACCCATGGAACACATACAAGACTAATACATATTAATTCACAAAAGCTTAATAAATTTGAAAAAGCTGATATTCTGCAAGCCACCTTTTTAAATCCAGAGCAATTAACTAGAATAAATTATTAACAATTTAATACCTAACCACCTAGAAAATTTAGGATACTCTCTTCAGAACAAAAGGAAGATAAAATTAAAAATATGATCATTTGGAAAGTTACAACAAAGTGGGGGAGGGGAAGAACCATAAATAGGAGATTAGACTTTTAAACAAATTACTATATACAATCAGGGCTAAAACATTTAAAATCTTGACGAAATGTGTGATTTTCCTAGAAAAATACAAATGATATTGAGAAAAAAAGAATGAATCCAAGGTTTCTGATCGTCAATCTGATGGAAAATTCACTGAGAATCTCTTGGGCTTGGGGTATCTTGAGTGGGAGGAGTCTGTGGACCACCCAGCAGTGGAGATTTCCAGCAGATAGCTGGATAGGTTAGGCAAGCCACCTGGACTGGAGATGAAGACTCGTGATAGTCGGCATGTAGTTTAGGTGGAATCATGGGAGCACTGGTGAGGTTGCCCAGGGAGTATGTGTACAGAGCAGGAGACTCTTCCTTGACAACCACTGTGAGGGCCACTAGCGTTCACACAGTGTGTCTTCAGGAGCAGCAGTCCTCTCAGCAGGCTGAGACGGCATCGTGGCTGGAGAGGTCGGAGTGAGACAGGGTGGTGTGTGTTCAGGAAAGCCAATGGGTGGAAGTATTCCCAGCAGAAGAGTATTCCCAGTGTCAAATGCTAACTTGAGCTTAAGGTAAGAGTGGGAAAGTTCTCTTTGTTTGGCTAAAATGTTATTGGTGACCTTAACAAGAGCAATTTCACTGCGATTATCTTTCAAACTTTTGGTCAAGAGGTAATATCCATGCTATGTAAGTTTTATAGAGCTTAGGATAAAATATAGACAGCCTCTCCATTTATTTTTCAAAGCTGATATAAAATAAAAATCAATTGGAAGCTGTATAACACCATGCACACAATCCCATTGATTGATATAGACACATACATCCTTGGCAACAAAAATAATAACTGACACTTGTTGAGTGTACAATATGCGCCAGGCACTATTCTCAGTAACTTGATTGATTTAATCTTAATACCAGTAGTCTTAAGAAAATATTAACACATTGAATTCAGAAATATACTAAGCAAATTATATATCCCACCCATGACTGAATGTTTAATTGTGAAATATTGGGAAATCGATTATAAAATATAAGTTGGTGAAAGCAGAAAATTCATATGATTGTAATTTTCTGAAATTCTAACAAGTCCTGATAAAAACCATCGTTAAAGCATGATAACTAGTATCTAACTCAAGTAGCCAACAACCCATTTGGTTGTGAAATGTCAGTGTTATTCCCATTTAGAGGAAAACAAGCAAGAATATTCACCATCATCCTCATTTTTAGGTACTGTTTGGGAAGTTTTAGCCAACACAAGAATGGGATTAAGAGAACTAAATGAGATTAACATACCTATCAAAAGGAGTCAAAAATGATCATTACATGTAGATACTATTATGTATAAGCTTAAGAATGAGCAGAAAAAAATAATGACATCTGTCAGGGGTTGGTTAAAAAATAACAGATAGCTACAGTTGGTTAAGATCTTTTATGTGCCAAGAACTGTGTGTGGGGGGGCGGAGGGCATTATATAAATTGTTTCATTTAATTTTGACAGTAAACTCATGGGATGGATTCAGGAGCTCTCAGAAATTAATGGTGGAGCTGGAAATCAAACTCAAGATCTACTAGACTCTGAAGCTGATTCTCTTACTGACTATACCATATATTGCCACACACTACTCTCACACACACTGTCTGCATAAACATATAGAAACCAAAAGTGTTTCTAGGTGCTAGGAAAACTCTTAAAAAATGCGATGAGAGGGTAATCATATTCACAATAAAAACAACATAAAGTGAAATACATAGCAAAAAAATTAAAATGAACAACAAAAAGCTTATTACCTATAAGTTTTGATGGGTAGTGCACATTTTAGTGGTGGACCTAAAGAAGAATTCATATATTTATGAATATGTATATTCATACATTGTGTGTGTGTGTGTGTGTGTATGTGCTTACCAGATTTTGGATTTGAGATGGTCTTTCCACATATAATACCTAAAGACAAATTGGGATATGATATTGTAACATGGTGACAGAGTGTTAAAAATATTAATATATAAAGGGTTTTTACAAGTAAAAAATAATAGACTAATCCCCAATTTAAAAAAAAAGAGAGCAGAAACTATTAATAAGCAGTTCAGAAATTAAAAAAGAAATTAAAATCATCTGCAAGTACAGAAAAAAAATTTCAACTTCACTGATGAATAAAGAAATGTAAGTTAAAATGACCACATGCATTGCCGAAGGGAACATAAATTTGTACATTCTTCTGAGTGATTAGACAGTGTGTGTGAAAGACCTTAAATATAATCATAATTTTTGGCCCAGTAATTCTAATTCTTGGAATTTTTCAATTGAAATAATTAAAGTTATACACAAAGGATAATTGTTGTTCTGATTTTTATAATAGCGAGAAATTAGGATCACATTAGAATTATGATCACATCATATCATATTAAATGCCAAACATTAGAAGCCATTTAAATAAATTATAGACCATGGCATGGAAAAATATGCAGAATTTTAAATAATGTTATCAAAGAATATTTAATAACCTGGGGAAAAGTTTGATATATTGTTAAATGGATAAAAAGTAGGTTATGTAACAGCGTGAATAGTATGTCTTTGAATAATTTTACGTATGTGCGTGTATTAAATCTGGAAGGATATAAGCAAAAAATGTTAACTCAGATTATCTCAAATAGTGATGTAATGGATGGTTTTATTTTTACTTCTATATTAAAATGTTTTATATTTTTAAAATAAAAGATGTTGTTTTAATAGAATAATAGCAACAAATAGTCATAAAAACAAAAATGCAAAAAGGAAGATTAAAAAGGAAATACACCTGTGTTTACTGCTGCCTAATAGGAGTGCAGGTGAATATTATTTTATTTTTTATATCTTTCTTCTTTACTTTGATCATGCTTTAATTTTAAAACCCAGAAATTTAAATCACAAACTTAAAAAGTAAAGAAAGAGAGGAAGAGAGAGAAAGGATAAAGGAATCAATTCCGAAAACTCTTCAGCACAGTAGAAATGCTGAAATGTCATTCATTCATTCATTCATTCACTCCCTCCCTCCTTCACTCACTTTACGACTGTTGACAATAAGTTCCTGCTATGTGCCAAGCACCGTCTCCAACAGTGAGAACACAGCGGCAAAGCAAAACAAGTACGAGTTCTGTTCCTAGGGAACTTGCAGTATATGGTGGAGCCTGACATTAAACAAATATGCATGTAACGAAATATAATTGGAAATGTGTTATGCATAAGAACAGGGTTTTATGAGAATAAACTCACTGAAGATTTATATATATACATATATATGAATGTAAATATTTAAGGGAGTAATTAAGAAATAGTGATATTTAGGAGAAGAATTAATGGGTAATAAAGGCATACTTAGGAAAGAGGGGAAGAAGGGAAAAGCAGGTAAAGGTAGTTTACTGTCTTCATAAGAAATCAAGATATGGTTAATTGTGTAATATATCTGATTATGTGAGATTGAGCAGAGGATTATGTGAGTGCATTTAAGGCAAAAATGATAAAATAATTGTAATCATCCTGAAAATTTGAAGTATCATTCTAATGGAAAAACATTAAATTACTATTAACTCTAAACTTATACTTGTGAATTAACCAATGTCAACAGCAAAAATCTTTAACTGATTGTGTCCATTATGTATCAATTCTTAGATAATATCTATTACCTGTAGAAGACTTAATTAGAAGTTTGCTTCATGGCCAGGGTACATACTCAAAAAGAGGACTCTTATTTTTCAGCACTAAACGAACCCACCATAGACTATGGCTTCCAGAGGCTGCAGAAGGTCATCCCGAGGCACCCCGGAGATCCTGAGAGATTAGCCAAGGTACAATGCTTTGGAAATTGATATGCGAAAAATTCCTTGTAAAACTTCAGCAAATTTAGGTAAATCCAGCAACTTAAATCCCTTTAAAATTAAATTAGGCCTTGAAATTTGGCTAAGCTTTAGATACAATATGCACATAAAATATCTACTAACTAGGAAATATATTATAATTAATCTCTGAGGAAATATGAAATTTAAAAATTTGGGCCTATAAAACATACACTATGAGCATTCAGCTTATAAAACACTGCCGACTTTATGAAGATCAATAATTGTATAATTGCCTAAAAGTGTAAGTTCCCACTTCTTCGTATTTAAATATAATTTTACTTACTCATAATTGCAGGGACACATTAATCCACAATCAGATATTCACTGAGGGCCTACTATGTACACGGGTATTTAATGAAGTGAAAAACCCCTCCATCTAAAACTTCTATGAAATGCATCACTTTTAAATGAACTTGCTTATGAAAATTATGTCATGAATCTAGCCCATTATTTTAGTTTTCTTTTTTTAAAAAACGTATCAATTTATTAGCTGTTCGATTAATAAGAAAGTATTAAATTTTAACATTTGTATTTGCATTTAAAGCACACACTTTATAATATGCCATGTTCTGTTTTCTGAACTGTGAGTAAAACTCAAGCACCACAGTTGCTTCTACATCACACCTTTATTTTCCACTTGGAAAAATCCCCAGCCCCACCATTAAATTAGATGATATCTGGAAAGTAGGTTAATAGCAATTTAAAAGGCTGTTAAAAACAGGAGGTGGAAAAGACAAAATGAGAGGAAAGGGATTACTGAACACTGATTCTCTCTGTTTAAAGTGAACAGGGGGAAATATTATTGAAAGAATTCATCTTTATTAGAATAAAATTTTGCAGAAGGCCTTGCCAAAATAATTTCAGTACTATGGACAACTCCTTGGCAAGCAGCTAAACACAAGTCAATCAATCATTTTAAGAATACTTGGTTAATTAGAGTACCAGATTTTTTAATGGAATAGTCTGAAAGTAGTTCTGAGTAAAACTTCCACCACATTATGAATTTAATCATCTCAACCCTCAATTTGGTTGTTTTTATTTTGGTCACACAACCATTTATGAAAACATTTTATCTAGATGAATTCCATGTAGATACATATTTTTAAAGAGATTTATATGTATGATTATATTCTACCTCTCACAACAAATATAGGGCCTCTTGGCTAGTTATTTACATTTTAGAGGGAATGTCTGAACTTTTCGCTTCTACACATAATTTTCCTTTGTGTTTGCCACTTGGGGTTTTTCCTTTGCTTATACCCCACTCTTTCTTTTCTTTTTCTAGGAAATGCTGTTGAAAAGAGCTGCAGATCTTGTGGAGGCTCTATATGGCACACCACACAATAACCAGGTTAGATGCTCACGTCTTATGCTCTACTGAGTTTAACCTTTTGTGCCAGATGAAACACTCACCTCAATCTGCCATTTTGTAGGACATCATTTTGAAGCGAGCCGCAGACATTGCTGAAGCCCTCTACAGTGTCCCCAGGAATCCCAGCCAGATCCCGGCTCTCTCCAGCTCTCCAGCTCACAGTGGCATGATGGGCATCAATTCTTATGGCAGCCAACTTGGGGTCAGCATCTCAGAGTCAACACAGGGAAATAATCAAGGTACTACTTTTGTGAGAGTCGCAATTCAAACATCTTCTTCTACATTTAAAAGATGGCTTCTGCTGGAGTGGAAGGAGTTGAAGCTTGATTCATATACCATCAAAAGAGTGTGTCCCAGATAAGCAATGCAATCAGATACTACTGAGTTATCTCAACATTGTAGGTGGTGTATTGTGAGATTTTTGAGCTTTTTATATACTAGGTAGAATCCCTTTCACTGGAAATGCTTAAGGATAAGATTGACTATTCTGGATTTAGGAGGGTTTAGGCATATTGAAACTAGATTTACAGGTATTATTTGAGTAAAATTTACACTTCTGCTATTGCAATCATCAGATAATGGAAATAATGGAAAAAAGCTGTTATTGTCATTATCATTTATTATAACCAACTCTCTTTTCCTAGTAACCAAGGATGAATGGCTTAGTTTTATTGGCAACTTCTGTTTTTGCATTATCTCCTATACAAATATATAGCAACAAAATTTGCATGTAAAGTATATCATGTAAAAATTTTTATCATTGAGGTTGATTTCACCAAAGTGCTAAATTTATCATAAATCATTTTTTAGAAGAAATAAATATTCTTAATGATGTCCCTAACCTTGGGATAGATATTTTTATTAATTCCAATTTCATTCAGCCATTGGAAGGGAATTCCTCATTCTTATGCACAGTTCTTGCAGAAGGGCGATGGGATATAATGTTACCTTTTTTTTTTTTCAATTTAGATCGTTTCCTACATAGTTCTGGAGACTGTTACCTACCAAAGTGGTTTATTTCAGGATAGATTAGGTGATAAAGTATGTGCTAGGATTTCAGAAGTATGGGGACTTTCATTGTCCCTTCCCCCATTCCACTTACAGCCTGGATTAATCCAGATTCAATTGCTAATGCTTCCAAGTCTTTGGTCAAAGAACAGCACATTTAGATAAACTTATCAACACCTTTTGAATAAAAATGTTCCCCACCCCCACCCAGGGCATAGTAACAACTTTGAACTAACATTTCCAAAGCTGTGATTTGCAGAATACTAGTGGCCCTTGAGATGTCATTAGAATGCCTTTTCCCCATCACTCCCAGAAAAGATGCTATGGTGTGTTAAATTTGAGAAACACTAGGTTAGCAAAGTTAAACCAGTTTAGTTATTCTCTAGACCCTTCATATGTAAATCTTCAAGGAACAGCCACAGTATGAAACATCTGCCAAGCTTTATTTGGCCATGCGATGCTTTTCTCAGTAATACCTAGTAATATCTCATAGGGCTCTAGCGAAATATGATTTGGGTGATGTCGCTGCACACTGCCATTAGTTATTCATTCCTTCGTATGAATGGAAGATGATCACTGCAGATGTGAAAGAAGAAGAAAGAGGGATGATCAGACGCCTGGCCTTGTGTAGCATGGGGGAAAGGAGAGGAAGGTATTAAAAGATGAAGGCAAAATGCACACTTTTCACCCTGTTCAGGGTTGGCTTGGTGGTACTCCATAGCAGAAGGCCGATGTGGCCCTGTGCTGCCATATTTAGCCTGCTCTGTGTGTATGTGCCACGTACCGGTTAATTTACCCAGGTTTTCTTTGTTGTCCAGGATACATCCGAAACACAAGCAGCATCTCTCCGCGGGGCTACTCTTCCAGCTCCACCCCTCAGCAGTCTAATTACAGCACCTCCAGCAACAGTATGAATGGCTACAGCAATGTCCCCATGGCCAACCTGGGTGTCCCAGGGTCACCAGGATTTCTAAACGGCTCCCCCACAGGTTCCCCTTACGGAAGTAAGTGCCCTCTCCACTGCACGCCTCTCCCTGTCTCTCTGTCCCTGGGTTTTACTCTGCAGCCTTTTGAGGGACTGTTGCATGCCTACATCTTACTGACTCCTCAAGGAAGAGCCCAATTTCCTGATGAAATGTCCTTCCTGCCTTTTGTTTTTTTCCCTTAGCTGTACTTGGGCTCATTTGGTTACTGAAAGTCTCTGGGGAAAAGAAAAGGGGCAAACTATTCATTTTTTACAGAGAAAGAGT